GCGTTAACGGGGGGCCGTGGCGTGTGTACATACTCTAGGCCACGTGGGGATTTGCCCGGGAGGCTGTTTCCAGGCATCGGTTGGGATGTGCGCGCGGCCTGGGCAGGGAGAGTGCCCGGCGCCTGGGGGCGGGCGGGCCGTTACCTGGAGGCCCGTGAAGATGATGTCCAAGGCAGGGAAGAGGAGCTCCAGCTGCGACTTGCAGTGGATGTGGCTCACGTCGTAGCCCACGCGGAAGACGTTGAGGCAGATGGTGCAGTTGCCAAAGAGCAGCAGGGAGCCTGGCTGGACCAGCGGCCATTGGCACCTCCCTGGAACGGACCCGCCCCCCCCCCTCCATCTACCCAGCGCCCCCATACTCACCCCGCACCCACACGGGTCCCGCGTGAGGGTCCCGGTAGAGCACAGCGTGCGGCCGGCGGGTGGTGCCGGCCACGTAGCAGAGGAGCCAGAGCAGGGACAGCGCCTTCAGCACGGCCAGCAGGATCCACACGTCGCCCAGCGTGACGGCCACGTTGTTGAAAATCATGCTGCAGATGAAGGCGCCGCCCAGGAACACCACGTTGAGGGCCAGCAGCCCCGAGAAGAGCTGCCCGGCCTTCTGGGCCTGCCGGTCCCGCCGCAGCAACAGCGAGAAATGCCGCACCAGCCAGGACTGCTGGCCCGGCGAGGCGGGGACCACTGTCTCCTCGGCCTCCATGTCCACTAGGTTCTCTTTGGCCAGGGCCGCTTCGGTCTCCTGTGCTCCTGTGGAGGCCACTGGTGCAGCCTCAGCAGGCGCTGGGGAAGGAGAAAGGGTCCTGGTTGGCTGCCGGGCTGTCCTGGGTTCAGTTCCATCCCTGCCCCTAACTACTGTGTGATGTAAGCCAAATTAAGCAACCTCTCTGGTCAGAACGTTGGAAATAACAGCAGCTGCCTTCCAGGACCCTGGAGGTCCAAACAGACCAGGGGCTATGGAACCCTCTGTGCTCCACATTAACACAGACGATTTCCACGGGCTTGAGGACCCCCTCCCCCGCCCCCGTCCCCCCTGCCTGACTCAGCATCTGATCCTGAGATGGAGTAACACTGTCTGTCTAGGAAGCCAGGGGGACCTGCACGGTGCCTGGCCCCCAGGCAGTCTCCAGGGCTGTGACGTTTTTGCCATCAAAAGGCAGCTCAAGCTCCGCTGACTTCTTGGGAGGAAGTTCACTCCAGAGTGACAGAGCGAGTAGGTGTCCTCTCTTGCTCGGACTCTGATTCGTAGGTAATGGTTTCCTAGAGTGTTGTGTTGAGAGGGCTCTTGAGGCCAAGTGTGGGCTTGGTGGGAAAGAATGTTGTGGTTGGAAACAGTACTCTATTATGGATACACTAGACTAGAGGCCTCGTGCACAAAATTCATGCACAGGTAGGGTCCCTACTGGCTGCCGGTCAGGGCCTCCCTTTGTTCCCCGCCGCCCCCTGGTGGTCAGCGCACATCATAGTGAGTGATTGAACTCCCGGTTGGTCAAATTCCGGAGGGGACACTTTGCATATTAGGCTTTTATATATATAGATATGAGTGTATATGAAATGATGGCCTCTCCAACCCCACTCTCCCCTCACCAGTTCTCCTCTCAGGCCCCAAGCCTATCCATTCCAGCCCATGAATTGCTCTTAGATCTTTCTTGACCTCAACCACTGCCCTAGCCCAGGCCCCTACCCTTGCTCCTGGACTGGTCTCCCTGTCCACCAGGCCTCTTCCCTACTGTGAGCCTGCCAAGGCCACGTGTTGCCTTCACATACAGTCCACGCTACCTAGCGTGCCCTCTCACAACAAAACGAGGCAGAGTGTGTGTCGTGTGAGCTTGTAGCGCAGAGAGCTTGCGGCAGGGTAGCTGCTGCCGCTTCCTGGTCTGGCCCCAACTTCCATCTCCAGCACTGCCCTCGGACTCCCTGGCCCATGGGCTGTGCCATCCTGCTATTGTTCCCAGAATGCCCTACCTTTGCTCACCTCCCTGTCTGCCCACCCCCACCCTTTGCTCATAATGCCCGCTTCTCGCTTTGTAGCTGACTGCAGCCTGTCCTTCAGGACTCAGAAGAGCCCCACCTCCTGTAAGCGGCCTCCCCTGAACCCCCTTTCCGCCAAAACTGGCTTAGGTGCCCGCTCTTGGTGCCCCCGCCGAGCCCCAGGCTTGTTTCTGGAGCCTCACCTCTCGCACGCTCTGTCATTGGCTGTGCTTTGCTCTGTCTGTCCCTTTGAACTTGGAGCTTCAGAAGCTTCAGACTCTCCCACTCTGACCACCAGAACACCCTCATCTCATTTGGCTCTAAGTGGCCCCATTCTCCCATGTACAACCTGCTTGATAGTTATACCTCTGCTCTTCTCTTCCGGGGCAAAGAGAATAATCAAAGGTGGGTAGTGGTTGAGGTCAAGAAGGATCTAAGAGCAATTTTAAAGGTTCTATAGGATTTTCTCCCCCTTACCTAGTCCTCTGGTCACCCTCGCTCCACGTCTGCCCTCTCCCTGTCCAGCCCCCTCGTCACACTGCCCACACCTGCCCCCCACGTTCCTCCAGGCCCAGCCAGAGGGAGCCGCATTTCTCATGGGGTCTCCTGCCCCCCCCCCATCGCTCCCGGAGCCCACGGTGCCTCCCCTGCTTCCCTCCACGTGGCTCTCACCCATCCTCTCCACCCACCTTCGGGGCCTCTCCTGGGAAGCCTTCTCTCTCTGCCCAAGAGTGGGTGGCATTGCTGTGGGTGTGGCTGGCTCCCCTCAAGACCAGGAGCTCCTCCAGGCAGAGACCAGCTCCTGCTTAAGCCAGACACCCCCCCCCCCCCAAACTTGGCACCGCATGGCGTTCAACCAGTGTTTGCTGACGACTCCTGCATTTTTCAGGGAACTTTCAGCACTAGAGTCATGGACAGAGAGAGACCCCTCCCATGAAACTTTTTCCATCTTGGCCCAGACAAAGACATTTTTTCCGACGATCTTTATCTTTCCTCCTAAGTCTCCTCCGCCCAGGTTGAGCAAGCCTGACGCTCCTGGGGACACACCTCCCTGCTCTTTTCTCCCAGCCCTCCCTGCTCCACCTCACCTTTCTGAGTCTCCCCCATCTTCCCAAGGCCAGAGGACTAAGAGCCCAGATTCTGACACCTCCTACCGGTGTGATCTTGGAAAAGCTACTTAGACTCTCTGTGCCTTGGTTTCCCCATCTGTAAAGCAGATATACAACTATGGACTATACCTGGTGTTTAGTGGATGTTCAGTAACGATTTCTTGAATGAATAAATGAAGGGATTAATGCATAATACCTAGGTCACAGGGGTTTATAAAAATTAAATGATTTAATTTATGCAAATGAATGCAGATCCCTGTCTGGCACACAGCAAGCTCTCAGTGTTAGCGATTTGAGCATTTTCTTCCAGTTCTTTCGAAATCCTGGGGCGACTGGAAGGGTCGGGATTACTGGTGAGTTTCAGTGGCCTGCAAGCGCAGAGGGGACCCAGGAGGACAAGGTTCGGGGGTCCACTCCTTCCAGGGTCCTCAACTACGTCCTCGCCCTCCGCCCGCCGGGTTCAACCCTCCGACAGCCGCTAGAGGGAGCCCTCAAAGTGGCGGATTCTGTCCGCCCAGGGAGAGGGCGACCGGTCCGCGCAAAGGGGTCGTGGGAAGAGGGCAAGGGCGCCCGGAACCGACAAGGAGGAACCCGCCACCCTCTGGCACGCCCTTCGGCGAGACGCCAGCCCCAGGGAGGGCCCGCGTAACTGGTTTGTGGGGCACGGTCGGCAGGTGATGAAAGCCGCGGCCGTCGGGGCGCGGCGTCCCGCCTGGAGCGCAGCGACGGCTCCGGAGGAGGCGGCTGAGCGCGGGCCGGGAGCTGCGGGATTTCTTTCCGAGCCTTTCGGGGGCTGCGGGGCTGGGGCAGCCGCTACGCCTGTTCCTCAGACCGGGCGCCCAGGCAGCCCCAACCCCCACCCCCTTTTCTCTGGCCGTCCTTCGGGTTTTCCCTTCTTCCTGCGCCCCCTTTCGGCTGTGCGCACCCGTCCGCGGAGAGGAGGTGGGGCGCGGAGCCGGGGTTGGGGTTGGGGACCGAGAGGGGTCGGTGCTCGAGTGGTTGGCCTCCCCCGAGTCACCCCGCCCTCCCGCCTCAGTCCCTGCAGCCCCAGGTGTCTGAACCCCAGGGGGCGGGGGAGGAGGAGGTTTGAGTGCCCAGGTGGGCTTGCCCGGAACGCCGCGCACGACATCCGAGGGCGCTCGCCGCCCCACGGGCGCCGCCGGGGGAGGGGAGCCTTACCTGAGGTCTGGGCGGGCATCGCTGCCCGCTGACCACCGACCGCGGCCGCAGCACCCACAGTCCTTCCAGGTGAGGCCCGGACTGACGCCCCCGACGCCCTCCCCAGCGGGACTGCGCAGCCGCCGCTCGGGCTCCCGGGCCCATCGATTTTTCTGTTGACTTTGGGGATGTCATTAATCCTTCGTTAATTACCCCGCCAGGGGCTCCAGCCCCGACACAGCAGCCAATGGCGAGGCGGCTGGACGGGCGGGCGGGCGGGGCCGGAGGCGGGGCCGGCGAGGGCTCAGGGTCAGGGGACCCGCCGGCAACCGCCTCCGGGGTGGGGTGGGGTGGGGTGGGGTGCATGTCCTTTGGTCGCAGGATTCGTCTTTGCTGGGGTTCAGGTCACACTGTCCTCTGGCTTCCAAGCAGGGGGTGGAACCCCTGGGTCTGGGGTCGCCTTTTCCGGTCAGCCCCAGGCGGCTGCAGCCTCGCAGCAACCTTGTCACCCCCCTGTCTCAGAGCCCTCTCTCCCAAGTCAGCGGGGAAGGTGGAGCGAAGAGACCCCATTCGGACTGGGCAGGAGGCGGGTACGGTGAGAAGTTGCCCCTCCAGGCCTCTTCACATCTCGGGTGGCTCCTGAGTCGCGCCCACCTCCTTCTGCTGCCAGGCGTTTTCCTCTGGGTCCCCCGCATCCAGTCCTGCTGCCCCCACGCTCAGCCCACCCCCCTCTCGACCCAGCCCCGCCCCAGTCCCACTGTAGCCTGTGGCCCCACCGGACTCAGTTGGCCACCAGTCCTTCCCCCTCTTCCAGCTCCTGGGTCTCAGTCCCTCTCCCTGCTGAGCCCATCTCTCTACCTTTTGTAGAGGAGTCTCAGGGACCCCCAGGGAGTGGGGTGCTGAGGAAGAGGAGGCCCAGGGGGTGAAGGTCTGTATCCCCAACTCCTGTTAAACCAGAACAGCCCTATCCATGCCTATGTTAGAGGTTTGGGTTCCTGAAATAGTTTACTTGTGGGGGAATGCTCTGCTGTTTGAAAATTATTATTCTTAGTACACAGGCTCTGGCCCTCTTTGGCTGTGTGACTTGGGCAAGTCCCCTGACCTCTCTGGGCCTTAGATTCGTTCTTTGGAAAATGGTGGTGGACGAGGTCCGTATTCCTCACCTTTCCTGTGTTGCGGGACACGTGCAAAATGTGTTCCCTTGAGGACACAGGGAAGAAGGGGCAGCTGGGGACTCTGTCCCGCCACCAGGTCATGGTCTGTACTTGGTTTGTAACTCAGACTTGGTTCAACCACTGAAAAGCTGAAGACCTGAAAATCTCCAGCTCAGACCCCCAAGATCCTCTCCTGTGATCATGTCATATGGGGTGGCTGACACAAGAAGTGGGGGACAGGGCGCGAACTGCAGGTTTATTGGTTCCCAGCTCCGGGCAGCAGCACTGGCCAGGTCACAGGGCTGGGATTAGGGGCGGAGCCAAAGCCAGGGACACTTCCTGATCTTACCTGCTTCTAGAAACGCTTTAGGGAGAGGTGTCCCTGCCCCGTAGCCCCATGCACCAGGGTCATGCCAGGTGGCTGAGCATGTCCCGATTGCAATTTAAAAACATCCTGAAAAAATAGCTTTTGTGAAAATTCCACTCTGGGGCCAGCGGGGGTACGAGGGGTCATGTGCCAGCTTGGGGCTCACTCCTGGGGGTCTCTGGGTGGGCGTGTCTGCGGCGGCCTCAGGCCAGCACGTAGACCTCCAGCAGGCTGGAGACCGCGTGCATGCGGTAGAAGATGCCGAAAGGCAGGCAGATGTTGACGATGGCGGCCCAGAGGGAGTAGCCGTAGAAGTCCACCTCCACCTTGTTGCTGAAGTGAGGGCGGGCCCCGAAGGCGGGCATGATCCACAGCTGTGGGGGAGACGGTGTGTCAGGACCCGGCCCGACTGGCCACAGCCGTGGGGTTCGCCGGGGGCCCCAGCCCTGCAGTTGGGTGGACAGCAAGGGCTGGGTGTTGCTGAGTGGGGACCTCCCGCATCTTGGAAGGGACTGGTGCTCTCTAAGGAGTTCAGGAAATGTGCCGGACTCGGCTTGCCCACCCCATAGGACTCGCCCTGTGATCACAGCTCCCCCATAGGAGGCCCCACTTGCGGGATGGAGAGAGGAGAAGAGGTTTCATTAGATGATGTGAGAATTTGATACACATTTAGAAATGGCTAAATCAGGAGCTGGAGAGATGTGTGGCAAATCCGCCAGGGCCAAGGCAGGAGGGGCGGGATCCAGCCAGAAGGTTCTGGTGTGGGCTCACCCCACCCTCCCCACCCCCATTCCCAATTAGCTGTGCCATTGGGCACATCGCAGCCCTTTTCTCAACCTGTTTCTGTCCTATAAAATGCTGCTCTCAGAGGTGATCCAGGCTCAGATACCTGGAGGAAAACAGCCTTTCCCAAGGTGACGCCCAGCCAGTGGGCGGGGCCAGCAGAAGGTGAGGGCGGGGCCAGGGCTGGGGCCGACTCAGGATAGATTCCACTGGTAGGTGGGAGAGTGCCGCCCTCTTTTTCTATAGACTACCTGCAGGAGGGCAATATGTACAGTGGGGACTTCACTAAGAACGCACCCCCGTTAGGATGGATGGTTGGTGTTTTTCATGGGGTGGAGTCTCTCTGGAGATGTTTTACGTTGACAAACCCACATCAAGGCTGTTTCTATATTACGAGTATTGTTTTCTATTGAAGGTGATAGAGCTGGAAGGACCATATTCATAGCGAGTGAAATTTCTCTAGGTGTGGGAAGTACTCACATGGCGCGTGTTTCTGTGTCAGAGGTTTCCCCTGGGATTAGGTCTGTGCGGTGGGGTGGTAGCTACATTAGGGGTGCCCCTCTAGTGGGGTGCACCCTTGTGAGGAGAGTTTCCATGCACGGCGCATGTTTGTGTTGGGTGAAGTCTGCTGGGGTCCAGTGGAGTCTCTCTTAGTCAGGGCTTTGCTGAATCACTGGGGAGGGGGTGCTGTTGTGGGCGCCCCCCTTCCGGGCCAGCCCGCCGCTGCTAATCGACCGCTCGCACTTACACTGCCCTCCGCTGCTTCCTGCCGCTGCCCCAGTTATTCTAAGCAGCAGGCTGGTCATGAGCTCCCAGGAGCAGTCACACCTCCCACCTGAGGGTGAGGGCCCCCACTCCCCACATCAGTTCTCACAGCTCCCTCTCCCCTCGGCCCAACCCCCTCTCCCCTCCCTCCCCAGCATTCCCTGGGACCCCTTCCGGCTCCTGTGGTGGCTGCCTGGCTGCCGGAATGCTAGGACTCCGTCCTCTGGGTGCTGAGATGCTGTTTGCCCGGCTGCACCTGACCCTTTCGGAACCTACTCCTTCCCTAGACAGACATAGATTCTCGAGTAGGCTGGGGCCAAGACAGAGAGGCCAAGTGACTAACCCTGAAAGAACCTCCTTCCTGCCCACCCCCAGACCCCCTGCACCCCACCCCCAGGTACTCACGACGATGTTGCAGAGCAGAAGAAACAGAGAAATGTCCTTCAGGCATCGGCGTCTCCAGTGGGCCCGGGGGGCCAGGAAGGTGGCCGTGGCTTCCTGAGGGCCCACCAGGCCGGGGCTCACCGACCTGGGGGTGGGTGGGCAGGTTGGCAAAGCGTGGAGGGCGTCCGGGTTGGCGAAGGTAAGGCAGGGTTCCTTGGGAGGGGCGTCGTGGGGCTCAGCCCCTGGCGGGCCCCGGTGGAGGCTCTCAATGATAAACACGTTCTGGAAGGTGTGCTGGGCGATCATGAGCAGTGCGTGGGCGAGGTTGAGTGCCCCTAGCGTGTCCCTGGGCACGCCCACCACCACGGCGACGATAGAGTAATAGGAGATGGCATACTGGCCCAGGGCGGCGCCCATCAGCAGGGCCACGTCCAGGGTGCGTGTGGGGTTCTTATGGTGGTCCATGGCCCGGTGGTCAAAACGGTAGATGACCGAGCCGCTCAGGCTGACCAAGGTCATGAGCCCCAGGCAGGCGATGTTGAAGCTGTAGTAGATGACCAGGGCCTGCTGGGTGTGGTCCCCGTCCCTACCCACCTGGACCTCATAGATGATGAAGACGGCCAGCCCCACCAGGAAGAGCATCAGGCCCAGGACGGGGCCCACAAAGAATGTCTCCCGGAAGAGGCTGCCCCGGGATGGGGTGTGGCCGTGGCCGTGGCCGTGGGTGGAGGAGGCCAGCAGCCTGCCCACGTTCTTCCACATGACGTAGAGCATGGTGGAAGCGAAGAGGCTGTACTCGATGTTGAAGGGGTACAGGTAGAAGTAGCCTCGCTCGAAGATCTGGCAGACGGTCGTGGCGCAGGCGCAGTCGCCTCCGGCCTGGCTGCCCACGCGCTCTGCTGTGGGGAGACGGGCACAGAGCTGTACCGCCCACCCCTCTTCCTGGAGGGGCCCCATCTGAAGAGCCTCACCCCTAGACTGTGACCTCTCGCTCTGCCACATTCACTACCGTAGCCCAAACGCCCACTCTGGGCTTTGCATGTTCATTCATCCCACACATGTTTATTGAACACCTACTGTGTGCCTGAGACTGCGGGACACATCGGCAAACAATAGCCAGCGCTCAATTTAAAAAAACAGAACACTGACCTGCAAAGCTGCCCACTTCACCCCATTCCTTCAGGAAAACACTGTCCATCTGTCCCCCCAGGAATGACCCCTGGCTCCCTGACGTCGGCGAGGTTCTGGTCCTGTAGAAGGTGGTCCTCTTGGAAACCCCTAAAGTTCCAGCTTCCTCTGAGCTCTCCCCAGCATCTGACGCAGCCCGGAAAGCCAGCTGCTGGGCCTAGGTCTGGGCCCTGGCCCCCGGTCACCTGGGCTGGACCACACTGAAAGGGACCTTGTCCTGCACCCAGCCCCTGCTGTGTAGGGTGCCTTGGGCCTCGGCAAACATCTCTTTCGGTCCCTGGCACTGTGCAAGCTGGTTTTGCAGATGGAGAAGCTGAGGCGCATGGAGGCAAAGTGACTTGTGATGGCAGAGCTGACGCACATGACCTGACTCTGAGCCTGGTCTGGGCTGGTACCTCGCCGGCGTGCCTCTCTGTGCCCCCGCAGCCCCAGCACATTCCATTGGCTGCCTCCCCAGGTTGGTTTTTGCCACCCTCAGGAACCCCTGTGTGTAAAAGGTGGCCCTTTGTCAGTCTTGCTGGGCTGGGGGTCTCGCAGGGGGGAGGGGCGAGGCTGGGCCCAAGCTTTCCCTTCCTGGACTCTCCCACACTGGGGGTGTGCCTGTGTCTTCAGGCGAAGTCCAGGTGGACTTAGTCATCTAGTCTGGTCCTGACTAGTGGGGGGCCCTAGAGCAGTCTAGAGAAGTAGGAAGGACCAGGGGGACTGTACCCCATTTTTCCTCGGGATGGCATTTTGGTTAAAAGCCAAGATGGATCTGAACACTAGTTGCCGGATGCCAAGCTCTGTGACCTTGGGCAAGCTGTACAGCCTCGCTGTGCCTTAGTTTCTTTGCCTGGAAAATGGGAATATTGATGCTACCCATCTCACAGGGAGCTGTGAGGGTTAAGTACCACGAGGTTTCACACACTTGGCACCTGGCATGCAGAGCTCAGTGGACGGCCACCATTGCCATCGTCACTGTATTTCTAGCTTCTCCTTGCCGGGCTCTCCATCTGATCCCTGCTTCTGCCATCAAGACACTGCTCCCTTCCTCTCCCTCCAGTCCCATCGCCCTTGCCCTTTCTTCTGGGAGCCCGAGCCCCTTCTTTAGTGGAATGGGGACCCGGACAGTGGGACCAAGGCTGTGTGCTCCAGGGTCAGAAGGGTCCTCCCGTGTCACCTACGCCCACAGGTCAGCGTCAGAGCCAGAGCCTGGAGCAGGAGGTAGCTCTCCTGGGAGGGCGCAGAGATCCACTCTGCAAGCCAACAAAGCCCCCAGCCCGAGGCCCAGGGTCACAGGGCCAGGGGGCATCGGGCGTGGCACTCACGGTTGGCAGCCAGGCGGGCGTGGCTGGCGTTGCTGTGGGAGTGGGCCTGGTGCACGGATTCATCCACCACGGCCGCCATCCAGTTGGCCAGGTTGGTGGTGAGTGTGAACATGAGGCCGCACCTGTTTGGGGAGGGAGAGCAAAGAGGCCAGTGAGCCTTTGGCTCATCTTGGGAGCTCCAGTGGGAGGTGGCGGTGAGACACAAGGAAGCAGTCAGGCCCCTGTGTGACCAGGAAGCGGAGTTTGGAAGAAATGGCCTGGCGGGGATTCAGGGATGCTGGGGGGCCGGGGGGGGGCGGGGGGGGTACCCAGGGGCTCAGGCCACCCTGCTCCCTCTCCTGGGAAAAAGAACATTTAGTGCACTGCACAGCCCATCCCACCAAAGCCATGCAGGTGCGCATCCGTGCGTACACACACACACACACACACACACACCACTGCACGGGGTGATGGGAATGGAAATCAGGCTGCCTAAGGGACAGAAAGAGGCCCCAGGCCCAGGCTGGCAGCCTTCATCTCTCACGCAAGGTGAGCACTGGCATGCCGCAGGGCCGTGAGCGCTGGGCAGGCACTCACCGGGTCAGATCCAGGTGGACGTGAACACAGTCCTTAGCAGAGACCCAGAGGAAGTAAGTCTGTGTGGAGAGAGAGTGGCGAGGTCAATTACTCTGCAGAGCAAATACAGCTGAACTCAAGTGCCCACGTCCACGCCCAGCAAGCTCTCTCTACCTCTAAAGCCCTCACACTAAGTTATCAAGTTTATTTTAACTCCACGAAATGAGGCCAGGAAGAATTCACATTAAACAGTGCTCTGTTCTTTAATAATTTGTAAAAGGTCACCTAGAAGACTTTCTGGTCCTCATGTCTGTTTTTTGCAGGGTCGAGGCCTGGCAGAGTTTGAGTGTCTGGTTGTTTATTCCTGGGAGCAAGGCCAGCCTCAGGCAGGGTCTTGTCCAAGGTAGGAAGACCCTCTGGTGACTTCTCACTCGCTTTGGCAACACCCCCTGCCCCATCTTCATCCTGGGTTGCCCTGCAAGGCCTCGCCCTCCTCTGGCTGCCAGCCAGTCCTTCTGTGTGGGGTCTCTGTGTTTTCCTTTCTCCTGAGTATTCTTCAAACCCACAACATGTAAAAGACTAAAACGACATGGATTCCAGTCAGAAATGTGTTGAATTGTGGACAACGGGCCCCGGGGATGATGGTTCAGGGGAGGAACCATACACGTGGTCATTCTGGTCTTACAGGGCTGGGCCGATCTGGTCCCAGGGAGGGCCAGTCCTGCCTCAGCTTGGTAGGAAGATCGTTCAAACTGTTATATGTGCAATGAAGAAAGTATATATAGTTGAACATCTAGGGAAAACCCCAGGTACAGCCTATCCTATTTCCTGAACAAATACACAATACTGTATAGGGGCCAGGGCTGAGGGCAAACTGGCCATGGCGGGACCCTGGGCTGAGACTGATGCCCTCCACGGGCACCCAGGGAGGGCAGGCCAGGCTCTAGGAGACAGGATGGCTGCCATGACTCACACCTCTCAGGTGCGAACTGGTGGCACTGCTCAGGCTGAAGTGAAACCACAGGGCCCCCCCAAGTGGGCCCTCACATTTGGATGTGACTTCATTATCCGGTGCTACCAAGTGCCTCATGACCTCTACAGTCCTATCCCCACATTACCTGACTGTTGAGGGTAGAATAAGGGTGGAGCTCAGCCCTCCTGACCCCATTCTGGGTGCTGGTTCCTGTCCACCACACTCAAGGACCCTCCTCCTACCCATCCACCCACCCACCTGGATGACGACAAACACAGCCTGGGTGAGAGGGTGCAGAATCTTGATGGCCGACTGGCACTCGTAGAAACTGGAGTAGTAGCCCGTCTTGAAGACATCCATGACCAGGGTGCAGATCCCAAACAGCACCAGCCCACCTGGGAATGGGGGGGTGGGGGATCAGACAGGGGGGAGAGGAGGCTTATGGGTCTGAGGAGAGGTAACTAGATGAATGGCTGGCTGGATGGTTGGGTGGATGGATGGGCGGATGGGGTCTGACAGCAGTTGGCTGGCTGGATGGCTAGGTGGATGGATGGGCTGAAAGATGAGTGGGTGGATGGAAGGATGGCCCACTGAGCTCCCATCTCTTTGGAGCTAAATAGACAGGGAGAAGGGCCCTCCACGGGCTCTTTTGGCTGCAGCTGTCAGCTGTGTTCTGCTCTCCATCAGAGGGTCTCCCAGGACCACCCTTTTCTGAGCTTTAGACAGGGCAAAGAGGTTCCCCTTCACCTCCCCTCCAGCACCCTCTCCCTTCCTCTTCTCCCTCACCTGCAGCCCACCCTCCCTCAGCCACAACTAGTCTTGCCAGGGGAACGTCTAACCCCTCTCCCTCCACGCACTCACTCCCCAAATCCTCGGAGAGCCCCAGCTTCCAGCTTCCTGCCTGGCCCACCCCACCTCCGCCTTCGCTGTCCCCGGCACCTCGGAGCCAGATGGGGCCCGCGTGCGCGTCCCGGTAGGGCACGGCGTCGGCGCAGCGCGCGGTGCGGAGCAGGTAGAAGCCGATCCAGAGCGCGGCCAGCAGCATCATGGTGGTGAGCAGCGCGAACACGTCGGTGTCGTACACGGCCACCTTGTTGAAGGCGCCGCCGCTGACGAGCGTGCAGGCGAGGAGCAGCACGTTCACGGCCAGCAGCACCGACAGCAGGCGGCCGCCCTTCTTCCACACCTCGCGGGGGCCCGTCCGCGGCGCCCGCGGGCTTTCCCTGGGGCCGGCGGCCAGCTCCTCGGGCATGGCCGGGGCGACTGCAGGAGGTTGGCGGGGTCACTGCGGGGAGGAGCGAACAGGACCCCAGGTTCGTTCCCCCAGCGGCTCCCTGGATTTGGGGGCCGGGGAATTCCTGACTTAGAGGGGGCTGCCGGCGGGGGTGGGGGGTGGGGAGGTGGGAGGGGGGGTAGAGGAAGCGCCGGGAATGGGGAAGAGCGGAGACTGCGGCTCTCGAGCGGCGGCAGCGCCGTTGGACCCCGTCCCAGGTCCCCACTTCCCCAGTCCGTGCGCCCCTGGCAGGGCACCCACCTGGCTGCGCCGGGAGCCCGCGCTGAGCTGGGGGTCAGAGGGCGGCGAGCGGCGCCTCTCTCCCACGCCGGGCTGGACGCGCGCTTTATAGCGGGGAAGGCAGCGTGATTTACAGCGGACGGAGCTCAGCTCCATAAACCTCTCAGTCCCACGCACATGATCCATCTTCCCTCCGAGCTGAATGTAGGGAAGAGCGCGGGAGCCAGATAAGGAGATTTATGTTTACCCGTTAAGAGGCGCCCCACCCCACCCCCACCCCGGCCGCCCCGTCACCTCTGAGGGCCAGGCTCGGCACCCAGAGGGCACCCCGGCCCTCCACGCCCTGGCGCCCCGGAACCCTGAGAACTGTTCAGTGGATGCCCCAAGGACCTGGGGGCCCCGCAACGCCCTCGGCGCGCCCTGTACCTTTGTGCGCCTCTGTTGCTGCCCCAACTCTGGCCCCTCGTGCCCCTTTCCCCGGCTCCCTCTCAGCGATCCAAGTCCCCTCTCCCTCCTGCCCCTGCCCCCCTGCCCCTGCCCCCCTGCCCCTGCCACCCTGTCCCTGCTCCGCTGGCTGCGCCCTCGTCGAGCTTGGTTGTAAGTCCTCCCGCGGCGCGCGGAGTCCGCGCGGGTCTCCAGCGCCCCCTGCTGGAGAGTCTGCTGACCCCGCGGGAGCGGACGGCGGACGGGACCGCGGGCTCTACCCGCTGCGGGTCCCGCGGTTGGCACTAACAGCCCTCTCCCGCCCGCTGCCCCAGGGGGCGGGACTGCCGCGGACACCCTGCCCGGCCCTCGGCCGGGTCCCGGGATGCGCGGAGACACCGGGGGCCGCGCGCCCGGGCCCTAGTGAGGCCAGACCCGGGACTGCCCCTGGACAGGTCCTCCCTGCGCAGGGAGCGGGGGTGGACATTTTGGGGAGAGGGGAGGGCCTCGCCCGGTCACCCCAGGGCTCTCGGGCCCAGGGTGTTTAGGACCCAGGGGCAGCCCGGGGCGGCTCCCTGGGCCGCGGGAGATCCTCCCCCTCGGCCGGTGCTCGGCTCAGATGTCGGAGCAGCGGCGGCTCTGCGCTCCGCACCCACCGTCTGCGGCAGCGGGGCTGGCGGCCCCGGCCCCTGCCCGGCCCCCTCCCCCTACCCCATGCCTCGGTCCTAACCCCGAAAACCTCCCCCGCGGGGGGCCTTTTCCCGAGCCGCTGGCCCGCCCCGTCCAAGTCGGGAGCCATGAACGACCAGTACCACCGGGCGGCCCGGGACGGCTACCTGGAGCTCCTCAAGGAGGCCACCCGGAAGGAGCTGAACGCCCCCGACGAGGATGGCATGACCCCCACGCTCTGGGCTGCTTACCACGGCAACCTGGAGTCGCTGCGCCTCATCGTGAGCCGGGGGTGAGTGCCCAGCCCAGCCCCGCCGGGGAGGGGGCAGAGCGTCCACTCCCAGCCCCCAGCCCCTCTCGGCCCCAGGCCCCTCTCCTCTGAGCCACCCCCTTCCCTAGGGACGGACCCTGGGGTGGGACCTTGGGGCCTGGCAGTTGTGGGAGGAAGGGGGACTCTGGCCGAGGCCTGTGACACTTGTGACCTGGATATGGGGCTAGGAGAGGAGGGCTAGGATTTGGGGGTTCGTGCTTGTGGGAGGGGCTGCAGGGGGAGGTGGAGGTGGGAGAGGTCTCCTGCGTGGGCGGCACCTTGCAGCAAGTGTGAGAGGCACAGTGAGAGGGGAGAGAAGGTGCCGAGGCCTCAGAGGGGACAGAGGGGGGCTAGAAAAGAAGGGGGGCCCGCTGCCCACCCAGCCTGGATCTGAGGGCTCGCCCAGCAGTGTCCCCCTGCTCCCCAGGCTGGGCTCACACTCTTTCTCTTGGCTCCCTGCCGGGATTTGTGGGCATTGCCCACAGCACCAAATGTCACTGGATTCAGCCAGCCCGCAACTCCCGCTGCACCCCTCCCCCACGGAAGGCTCCCGTCCCTCCCTTTGGAATTCTCTAGGCCTAGGGAGGGGGAGCTTAGAGCCCAGGCGTCAGGGCCAGGGAAGGGTTTGGGGGTAGCCTTGAGGAATGCAGGGTTCAGGGACTGAAGGGGGCTCCTGGGGCTGAAGGGCTTTGTGGACAACTCCCCGCCCCCAGCGGATTTAGAAAGAGAAGTCAGGGTGAGGCGGACAGACACCAGGGCAGCCTGGACAGAGAGAAGGAGGAGGAGGAGATGCCCTAGGAGGGTCCTGGGCACCTGGTGGAGGCCAGGGGCCGGCCTGTGGCCTGAATAGGTGGTGGGTGGGGGAACCCCCTGCCTTCCCTGGGTAGCTGTTCCTGGGTCTCAGCGGGGGGGAGGGGGGCAGCCCTTACAACCAGGCAGCTGAACCACGTTCCAAAAGGCTGACTGGCCCCTCTCCACCCCAAGAGGACACACATGATCCTGCCCTCCTGCCCCTCCCTCAGGGGAACTCACCCCCGCCAACTCCCACAAAGGGCAAGGGTGGGGTCTAGGTGTGGATACCAGATGCCGAGCAGCCCCTCCCCACATGGTCCTGCGGGACTTGGCAACTTGGAAGGGAAGTGAGGAGGGGGTTGCTCAGGGAGCGGTAGTGACAAAGGGGTGATTCTTTCTCCAGCCCTGAGGGGTGGCCTTGTGGCCTCATTAGCCTGAGGCAGAGGCACTGGGCTGGGTCCTGCGGGAGGGGAGAGGTTGGAGGAGCCAGCGGGAGGCTGCCCTGCGTGTGTGTGTGTGTGGGGGGGGGGGGCCTGCTGGTGTAGAGGGTGCTGCAGGAGCTGGGTGGGTCCCCTGGGCAGGCCCGCCTCGCAGGGCTCCTAGAGATGGGGCAGCGGGGCGGAGAGGGCGCTGGGCCCCGGTTGCAGACTTCTCTCCTCCTCCCTCGAGTCCTGGCTGCCCCCACGCTCCCCTTCTGGCCCAGGCCAAGACCCGACACCTGCTCTCACACTCGGGCTTGCCAGGCCTGGCCCTGCTCCCTGCAGACATGGCTGTGCCCACGCCACGCAGGCACACGCCCTCACGCACCCGCACTCACCCAGGGCTCGGGCCCAGCACACACCACCCCTCACCCTCCTACGATCACCCCCGCACACGCAGCCAAGCTCACCACCACGCCTGCCTAGAGACCCAGACTCGCCCTGGCCCACCACCTCTCTGGGCCAGCTCCCCACTGGGCTCCATGAATAATTCACCCCTTTCTCTCTGGGCATCAATTATTCATCCCCTGAGATTCCCAGCCCTCAGTTCTCTTGGGGAAAGCCCCGCCCTGGCCCCGCCTTCTCTGTCGCCCCACCCCCTGCGTACCCGGGGCCGGGTCTACATCCGACTAGCGGCCCAGGGCTGCACATCTCGTGGAATCAGGAGAGATCTCAGGCTGGGTTGGTGTGACCGTGGGGGAGGCTGGGAGCTCCCCTCACCCGCAGCCACTGCCGACGGCCCGCCTGAGCTGCGGTGGCTCATCCCCCCTCCCCACGTGTTCTCCCTGCAGGGGCGACCCGGACAAGTGTGACATCTGGGGCAACACGCCCCTGCACCTGGCCGCTTCCAATGGCCACCTGCACTGCCTCTCCTTCCTGGTGTCCTTCGGGGCCAACATCTGGTGCCTGGACAACGACTACCACACCCCGCTGGACATGGCCGCCATGAAGGGCCACATGGAGTGCGTGCGCTACCTGGACTCCATCGCGGCCAAGCAGAGCAGCCTCAACCCCAAGCTGGTGGGCAAGCTGAAGGACAAGGCCTTCCGCGAGGCGGAGCGGCGCATCCGCGAGTGCGCCAAGATGCAGCGCAAGCACCACGAGCGCATGGAGCGGCGCTACCGGCGCGAGCTGGCCGAGCGCTCCGACACGCTCAGCTTCTCCAGCCTCACGTCCAGCACCCTGAGCCGCCGGCTGCAGCACCTGGCGCTGGGCAGCCACCTGCCCTACTCGCAGGCCACCCTGCATGGCACCAACAGGGGCAAGACCAAGATCCAGCGGAAGCTGGAGCGGCGCAAGCACGGCGGCGAGGGCACCTTCAAGGTCTCCGAGGACGGCCGCAAGAGCGTGCGCTCGCTCTCGGGCCTGCAGCTGGGCAGCGACGTGATGTTCGTGCGCCAGGGCAACTACGCCAACCCCAAGGAGTGGGGGCGCTCCCCGCTCCGGGACATGTTCCTCTCGGACGAGGACAGCGTCTCCCGTGCCACGCTGGCGGCCGAGCCTGCCCACTCGGAGGTCAGCACCGACTCCGGCCACGACTCCTTGTTTACCCGCCCGGGCCTGGGCACCATGGTGTTCCGCAGGAACTACCTGAGCAGCGGGCTGCAGGGGCTGGGCCGGGAGGACGCGGCGCTGGACGGCGCGGGCACGCCGCGGGGCCGGCTGCAGAGCTCCCCCAGCCTGGACGACGACAGCCTGGGCAGTGCCAACAGCCTGCAGGAGCGCAGCTGCGGGGAGGAGCTGCCCTGGGACGAGCTGGACTTGGGCCTCGATGAGGACCTGGAGCCCGAGACGAGCCCGCTGGAGACCTTCCTGGCCTCCCTGCACATGGAGGACTTCGCCTCCCTCCTGCGGCAGGAGAAGATCGACCTGGAAGCCCTGATGCTGTGCTCAGACCTCGACCTCCGCAGCATCAGCGTCCCCCTGGGGTCCCGCAAGAAGATCCTGGGGGCCGTGCGGAGGCGGAGGCAGGCGCTGGAGCGCCCGCCGGCCCTGGAGGACACCGAGCTGTGAGTGCCTGCCCCCCCACCCCCCGCAATGGGCGGGGAGACAGGGGTTGGAGGGGGAGGGGATCTGCTTTCCCCGGAAGTGAGGGGTAGTCCCGATCCATCACATGAGGCCCCACTTATTTTCTTTAACCACCCCCCCTTCAGAAAAAGAGGCTGCCAGTGGGTGAAGACTTTCACCCAGGCTTTCTTATCACAGCGAATGTAAAGTGCACCTCGTTTGTAGGCTTATCAGAATTTGGGGGAGTGGGTGTTTTAGCCTGGACGAGACCTGGTGGTCAGTCATCGCAGCAGGATGTTTGGAGCCCTTCCAAGTCCCGGCTCCTTCCACTTGTTCTTTCATTTAATCCTCCCAGCTCCCCAGTGCGGGGCTAGATCACCCCCACTTTCCAGTGAGAAAGTGGGGGCTCGGAGGGTTTGGGTAGCTCACCCAGAGGGCCTGCTGCTGCTCGGGGCAGAGCTGGGCTGGCTCCCTGTCTATGTGACTCTAAAGCCTGGGGACTAGGTGACTCCCAGGAAGAGCAGCATTGTCACCTGCGTTCGGGAAGCCACGGGGAGCTCAAAGCTGCTGTCACACTGGCCGAGCTGTGACCCCTCCCTCATGGCAAACCACAAGCCCTTTTCATGTCTCTGGCCTTTACCCTACATGTGTGGGCAGCGGTGGATGTGGGGAGGCAGTGTGGTTTAGAGTTTGGGGTGTGGGGTGGGCACCCCTAGGCAAGTGTCCCCATTCCTGACCATCAGCCTGCCCAACGGTAAGTTGTCCAGATGGCTAGAGGCTCTTCTCTGAGGTCTGTTTCTGTCTCTTTCTCTACAGATAACAGGGGCCTTCTCCCCCAGACCAAAGTGAATTGCAAGTTGCCACAACCCACGGTGGGGCCACGAAGTCTCCACATTTGCCAGCCCTGCAGCCCCGGGCCCCTCCCCAGGGGTAGGGACTCGGAAGCAGAGGGTATGGCCTGGAGGCGCCCAGAAGGGTCCTGGAGCCCTTGAGCCACCCCCATTGGAGTGGCCCTAAAGGACGTGTGGATTTGCAGGAGGCCCGGGGACTAGACTAGTGCCCATGAGAGCGGGTGGGAGTGGGTGTGTGAGGGGTGGGTGCAGCCTGTCCCAGGGGCCCTGTCCCTCCCAACCCTCCTCCGGGGATCCCGTTGCTCAGGCTGGACACTTGCTCATGTCCTGCATTTCTGGGAAGAGAAGAGTTTGGGCTGCCTTGCCTCACACTCCAGAGAGGAGGTCCTGGCTCGACTCTTCAGCCAAATGCCCTGACCTCAGTCCCCACCCCTGCCCCTAGCACAGCCAGCCCCCTCTCTTTCTCCCACCGGCCATGCTGGGGAGTTGGAGTGCCAGGCTGGAGTGCGTGTGTGTGTGTGTGTGTGTGTGTGTGTGTGTGTGTGTATGGGGCGGGGGTGACTGGTGTCCTTCCCAGCTCACCCTGGGGTGGAGCCCAGCCTGACTCTGCCCTCCCTACCCTGTCCTCCTCCACCTCCCCTCTCCTTGGCTGTGTAGCCTGGCCCCCCAGGGACCCCAGAGGGTCAGGGCCACAGATGCAAGGTGCTAGAGTAACCGGCTGCAGTATTATGGCCCCGGGCCCGAGGCAGGTGGAGCCGGGACGGCAGGGTGCCCAGCCTAGTGCGGGCAGGCCGTCATGCGGACACTGGAGCAGCCTGAGGAGGTGGATAAGCTCAGCTGCTGGTCCCCAGGGCTCTGTGTGCTTGTGTTGGGGGTTGGTTGGTGCATTTCCCTCAAGGCCTGGGAGCGGCTGGGCGGCGGCCTGTTCTGTGTGAATAGTGGCTAAACGAGAGCTCGTAGGACAAAGGCCAACCCCAGAGGGTCCTCAGACAGGTGTCCTCGGAGCTCTTGGAGGTCACAGATGTGGGAGTTGCTCAGGGGCCCACCCACATGTGTGAGCCCATGCCTACCCCCATGCAATGGACCCTATCCCCGACCTTCAGCTTGGAAGCAGCTTCTGCTGGGAGCACTGCCACAGCCCCCCCCCCCGCACCCCTTCCTTGGCTGGGGCAGGGAAGTGGAACCCCCAAAGAATGCCACAGGCCTCCCTTTGGGTGTCTTGGGTGTGGGCCCTGTCCGGCCATGCCCAGAGCTGGGGTGTGATGGAGGTGGTCGGGTCCCACCCGGAGGGCTGTGCTGCCTGCCACTGCCACCCTGAGCCCACCCCAGTCCTCCTCCCTGTTCTCGGCCTGAGCCTGGGGCCACCCCAAGTGCCGACTAGATTTCCTCGGAGCCCCAGGTGCTGCCCTTTCCCCTGTTCCCGGCTGTGCCCTGCCTCAGCCCCTCCTGTTCTCCTGTGCTGGGGGAGGGGGCGGCGAGCTCTGTGACTCCCACCCTGTGCATAGCGCCCCTCCTGCAGGTTCATTATAACCTTTGCAGAGTACGTTCTGCAGCATCGTCATGCCTGTGTCCTGCTCTTTAATCACGTGGGGATGGGAGAGGGTTGGATGAAGTGGGCAAGGGGGTGGGGTGGGGGAGGGAGAGGGCGTTTTGTGCCTTTGAGGACTTGGTCCTATTCCTCAGAGGGACTCTTGGCATGGGCGGTTGGGCACTCCTCCCTGGGCCTCTCTGCAGGGTCTCCCCTCACCCCCGGGCCTTCCCCTGCTCTCTGGGCCCAGAATTTGGAGCTGATGGAGAGGGAGGGCTCAGAACTGGGATGAGCCCGCTGGAGACCCCCAGCAGCTGAGTGGGGAGGTGGCCCAGGCACCAGCCTGTTCCTGGGGCCTGCCCCTGCTTTCTCTCCTCTCACCGGGGTCTGCCTGGGCTCTCCAGGCACGGGCAGAAGCCGCATACCAGCACACTGCCATCCACCACCGGGGCCCCGCCAGCCCTGAATCAAGGCCCCCCGCCCGCCTCTGGGAGGCCTCTCAGGAAGCTCTTGGGGCAGCCCTGTTTAGAACCCTCCTTTCTTCCAGCTTCCCCTCAAGCTGCAGGACAATGGGCTCTGTTTTCTCAGTCAAGTTTGGGAAAGGGCTCTGGAGTTTTGTTCCATTCCCTAAGGATGCTGGTCCACGTGCTTCTGCCAAGGGGAGTTCAAGACAACCCCCTCCCTCCAGCATCCATCAGCAAGGTCCACAGGACCTCAGGGCTGGAAGGTTGCCTAGCAACCATGTAGGGGTTCTAGGCCACCTCCCTCCACTTTACAGATGAAAAAGCTGAGGCTTACCAAGAGGAAGGTCCAGACCCAGACACAGGCCTCCTTTCCTCACCCCATGCTCAACGGGTTCATCAGCCCAGCGACCCCTAGTGGCCAGCCTGGTCACTGCACCTACCTCTGGAAAGACCGGCCTGTCCGGGCGAAGCAGGTCCAGGGAAGGACATGGGGACGAAGACTCCCAATGACAAGGGAGAGGATCAGATGGTCAGCGCGGAGCCAGAGGCTAACCCGGAGCAGCGGGGGCGGCGTCTCCGGAGGTCAGTGCGGCTGAGGGTGGAAGCCTGGGGCGAAGAGCTGGTGGCTCCAGAAGCCTGGGGGACACACAGAGTGAAGGGGAGAATTTTACACCAGACTCAGCTTGCTCCACTCATTCCCCTAAAAGTTTAGATCGAGTTAGGGAGATTCTTTCTAAAAGGTTAGGATAACCAATGATTCTTAGCCGTCGGGGATTACAATCTGACGATGATATGGACACTTTCCCTGGAAGGTGCACATGGGGCGTGCACACACTCAAGTGCACTTTCATTCACAACTTCAGGCCGTTCACGGAGCCCCAAGAGGCCCAGGGACCCAGGTTAAGAGCCTTAGTCAGCCTGGGGTGGACGGTATCATAAGTGGGATTACTGGTGGAAGGAGATGAGGGTGGGGGAATGAATCAGAGGCAGGAAGGGCCTCTGGGTATGTGGCTCAAGTCCTTATTTTACAGACGAGGTTAACTGAGGCCAGAGGGCAAGGGACTGGCTGAAGGTCACAGAGCAGCCAAGTGGACAAAGTAGTACCAGGTTTCCCGATGCCTTCCATGGTGCCAGCTGCCTCCTGTGCCCATGTTAGCCAGTCCTGGACAACATGACACTCGGGTTTATGGGAGGCGGCAAGACTCAGGAGGCGGCCAGATCTGGGCAGCAAAACCATCTCCGCTCCTTTCTAGCTGTATGGCCTTGGATAGGTTACCCCACCTCTTGAGTCTGTTTTCTCAGCTGTAGAATAGGATTATAATTTATTATAATAACAGTGTTAATCCCATAGGTCATTAGGGGGTGAAATGCTAATGGGGGAAAAGCACTTAACACACAGCAGTTAATAGTGATCATGCTTATGGGTGGTCTGAAACAGCCCCATTGTTCCTGTGGTCCCGGCCCCACCCAGGTGAGCCCTAGGCAGTCCCAGGGAGCAGTCTCCTGAGACTGAGCCCCTCCCCCACTAAACACCCATCCTCATCTGACCAGCAGGGGGCGATGACAACCCAGCCTGACCTGGTGGACAGGAACCTGGAGATGAGGAGGGCTCATGGGCATCAGCCAGGCCTGGGCATTCCTGTGCCCATGGCAGAGAGAACTGACATGCTGGGTGGTCCCCAGACTCCCCTTTCAATGCTCCCCACACCGTCTACACAGCTTGGTCATACTTCAGAGCTGTGGGAGGAGTCCCCATGGCCCTGAACCTCAGCCCTACACACACACACACACACACACACACACACACACACACGGAAAACATGGGCAAGGAGGAGCGGGAAACAGGCAGAGCGGGCATGTGCAGGCCCTTTTCTTGCTGGAAATGGAAACCACGTTTTACTATCACTATCGATACCAAGGGGTATCAGATTTAAGTCATATCAATATTCAACAATAATTACAATTGCACAAGAACTGCCATTAGTGGTAACTGTATCTACCATGAGCACTTGCCCTTTGTGGTCCATTGGTATCCATTCTACAGAAATGATCTTTTCTGGCTGGTGTTGCTCAGTGGTTGAGCATCAACCTATGAAGCAGGAGGTCAAGAGTCCATTCTCAGCCTGGGTTGCTGGCTCAATCCCCAGGAAGGGGCGTGCAGGAGGCAGCCCATCAATGATGCTCCTCTCTTATTGATTTTTTTCTCTATCCCTCTCCCTTCCTCACTTTCTAAAAATAAATAAAAACATATTTAAAACAACAACAAAAAGAGAAATGATCTTAATACTCTCCCCAGAGAACTGTTAAGGTAACTGGTATCGCCTTCTTCCACACCCCCTCAGGAAACTGAGGGTCAGAGAGGCCAAGTGACTTGCCTAAGGTCACACAGCCTGGAGTGGGACCTGGGTGTGTCTGAGTCAAGAGCCTCGCTCTACACACGGCTCTCGGCCTCCATACTATGTGAGAACCCTGGCTCTCACTCCCAGCCCTGGCGCCAACCCCACCAGGCCCAACACACACCCTTCAGGCTCACCCATATTCAGCATCACTGACACACACTGGACTGTGGTGCCAACCGGACTCAGAGGGAGCAGCCAGGTGCCCCTTGGGGAACCTCACCAGCCAGGAGTCTGGGTTCCTAACATCCCCAGCCTTGGGCTTTCAAGGACCTAACTTGCTATGTACTTTGGAAAGATAGCCTGGGCCTCCATTTCCTTTCCTGTAAGGTGGGGACAGACTGGCAGCCCTCGGAGCCTCAGCAGTGCCCCCACCAGCACAAGGCTGGCCCCCTCTCCCTCACCCCCTCACTCCCTGACCTGCCTCTGGGCCGTGTCACCAACCTGGCTTGGTCCTTGCGGGATGGCTGGCAGCCTGGGAGGGCGGATAGAGGCTGCAGGCAGCTGGGGCAGGCCAGGGGTCGGGTCCTGGGAGCGGAGGCTGAGGCACCCTGTCAATGTGGGCCCGTCCTGCTGGTGCCAGGGGAGCTTGGGGTGCCAGTCCCACTCTCAGATGACCGAGATCTGAGCCAGAGGCCAGGCTGCTTCTCCCCCAGCTCCCCGGGCCCCACCCCTGTGAATAATGCTGCTTGCCTCCTGGAGCCAGGCCTCACCGGCCTTTGATGACTGGGGGGTGGGGGTGGGGGGCATGATGGGTGGAAGACAAGAAAGGGTTAAAGACCCAGCCACCCAGGCTTAGAGCATAGAAATGGTTGCATTGCTGGAAGAGGTGCCCCCCAGCCTCCCAGGTCTCCAAACTCTTAGGATCCCCCTCCAGGCCCTGGGGCAGGGCAGGGCTCCTTCCCACCCCTCCCCCAACCACAACAATAATTAACCCCAGTGAACCCCAGCAAATAAAGGTCTGAATCACAAAGAGGAGGAGTCATCGCTGCCCCAGGGTGGGGAACCCCCCCCCCAGGTCTCAGGAAAGCCAAACCTAGCATCATCTGACACCCCAATCCCCACACCATTGCTGCCTCAGTAGGTCCATGGGCACCCAGTCCACCGGGGCCTGGGAGGAGGGCTCACCTGTCTTGGGTTTGGACCAGAGAGAAGATTAAAAATATGATAAATAAAAAATAAAAAACTGTACATGTCTCTTCCCTGAATATTCTAGTACAGCGGTTCTCAACCTGTGGGTCGCGACCCCTTTGGGGGTCAAACGACCCTTTCACAGGGGTCGCCTAAGACCATCGAAAAACACATATATAATTACATATTGTTTACAGTAGCGAAATTACAGTTATGAAGTAGCAACAAAAATAATTTTATGGTTGGGGGTCAGTCACCACAACATGAGGAACTGTATTAAAGGGTCGAGGCATTAGGAAGGTTGAGAGCCACTGTTCTAGTATGTCCCAGGGCAAGGGGCTCAATGGTGAGATAGGGAGGGGGAAGGGCACCTCCCCCTAGTCTGATTTTAAAACCTCTGATATAAACTAAAGGTCGTTGGGTTTGGGAGAGAAGTCCTGCGCTTGAATTCTGGCTCTTGCATTCAGTACCTGTAGGGTGCGTGCTGGGCAGATTAGTTCCTCTCTCTGGGCCTCCACCGATGAAAGTGTGGTGATGACAACCTCCGCAGTTGTGGGGAAATCCCACAACCTAATGCCGTGAAAATCGAATGTAACTTCAAGGAGCAGACGTGAGTGTGGTGAGAACTGGTCTCTTAGGTTGTAAACCCCTTAGAATACTGACTGATAAAGAAATCCTGCCCTTTTATAAAGAATTGGAAGGACAAACTCGTAAGAATTCATGAAGGAAAATGCCAAGGAATACAGAAGGAACCAACCTCCCTCCCTCCCTCCCCCTCCCTCTCCTGGTCTCATCACCCCTCCCAGAGGTCTCCTGCTGGAAGTGCTGGTGCCCTCACCATACCAGACCTCATTTCCCCCACCCCCCACCCCGAAAAATATATTTTTATTGTTTTCAGAGAGAAAGGGAGAGGGAGGGAGAGAGAAACATCAGTGATGAGAGAGAATCATTGACTGGCTGCCTCCTGCACGCCTCCCCCCGCCCCCCCCTCCCTGACTGGGGATCGAGCCTGCAACTGGGCAGGTGCCCTGACCAGGAATCCAACCGTGACCTCCTGGTTCATATGTTGATCCTAAACCGCTGAGCCACGCCTGCCAGCCAGGCCCAGCCCTCATTTTATTTTATTTTATTTTTATATATATTTTTTATTGATTTTTTTACAGAGAGGAAAGGAGAGAGATAGAGTCAGAAACATCGATGAGAGAGAAGCATCGATCAGCTGCCTCCTGCACATCTCCTACTGGGGATGCGCCCGCAACCCAGGTACATGCCCCCGACCAGAATCGAAGGGACCTTTCAGTCCGCAGGCCGACGCTCCATTCACTGAGCCAAACCGGCCTCGGCCAGACCTCATTTTAAAGGGACTTCAGGGTAAGACCAGGGAGAAAGTAAAACAAAAGAGAAAAGGAGAAAGCTGAGGAGAGTTTGCAGAGCACAGTGGCTCGAGCCTCCAGCCCCGCTGGGTGGGGACCTGGGCTGATGGGAAGGGGCTAGGACCCAAGTCTTGGGGGGAGGGCGGGCGGGAGGTGTTAGCTGTGGCCTTGTCCTTGTCCTGGGCACCCCTGAGTGAGTGAAGGATCCCCCCGGCAACGGTGAAGTCTGGATGTGTTTCCTCCCCAGCCCTCTCTGTCACCCCAAAATCCCTGGACTGGCGGCCAACTCTCCAGGGGTCACGTGTCTGCCAAGTGCTACTAAGAAGAACACTCGGGCTGCGGGAGTAAACACTGCAGCCGGAGCAGGTGGGGGGCCAGGAGTTGTCCGAGGTCAGGCGGCCAGGGGCCCTGGGGGTATCCGCGCGCCCCGCTGCGCTGGGCCCCTCTACTCTGGGGTGGGGGCGGGGGCTCTCGCTCCCGGTCTGCTCCCCACCCTCCGGCATCTGCCCGCTCCTCCCGGGGGAGTTCTGGTCCAAAGGCGCGCGGTGCCCAGCGGAACCATCACCCGGGGCGGGTGCCAGGCGCGTGACTCCGCCCCGGCCCGCCCCCGCCCGTGCCCTGCGCCTCGCGGGCGCCGCAGACGCCGGTGTCTTCCCAGCGGTCCGGCCCATGGAAACGGCGGCGCGGGGAGCGCCCCGAGGGGGCGGCGGGGAGCGGCTGCTGGGCGAGCTGGAGGCGCGCGTCCAGGACGTGGTGAGGGCGAGCTCGTGGTGGGAGCGCCACGGCCTGGACTGCTCCATCCTCGCGCTCAGCCTCCTCGCCCTGCCGCCTGGTGAGGGACACGGGACACGGGGCACGGGACACGGGGACACGGGACAGGGCGACAAGGGGCCCGGGTGGGGGGAGGGTGCGAGGAAGGGGATGAAGAGGGCGGCGGGGGGGGGGGAGTTGGGGAGACGCTGCGTGCTGGGGACCCCAAATCTGACCGTCTGTTTGGGGTGTCCTGCCCTGTGTCCTCAGAGGACCTGGGCGCGGGTGTGGAAGGAGAGAGAGGCCAGGCCTGAAGGGCAGAGGAGGGGCAGCTGAGAGGGGTGGGGAGGCTGGGAGGGGTGAGGTGGCGGGGGAGGGGAGGGAGTTCCGTGGGAACACGAGGGATGGGGTGAAGAGGGAGGGGGTTTCCTGGACTTCCCCTGGTCTGGACCCCCCCCCCCCCCATGCCCAGCCATTCATTGCTGCTCTGGCTGGGGCCCAGGATCAAGACTCCTGGAATCTCCTTGAGGAGTCAATGGGGCTCTGTTTTGTCCCCCAAATCCTGATGGGAGAGCCATTCCCTCAGGCCACAGGGGGACCCGCCTCACTGCTGCCTGTGGCGCCCCAGGGCCGGGCTCACTGTGGTCTGGGCTTCCCCGGGTTTGGGCCCAGGTCTCCAGAAGCTGAGAAAAACCTTGCTCCCCTCCTCCTCCCCCCAGGGTTCCTGTGCCTGCGTTCGGAGAATGTCCTGGTCTTTGTCCTGGGCATCACCATCCTGGGTGTGTGCCACTACACGCTCACTGTCAAGGGCAGCCACCTGGCCACGCACGGTGCCCTCACTGAGTCCAGACGCTGGAGCAAGATCTGGGCACATTTCTTCGTGGAGGTGAGCCTGGGAGAGGGTGAGGCCGCTGCTGGCCAGGCGGGCATCCTCCTTGTTCGGTGCCAGTGTGCAGGCGTGTACAGCTGTGTGCCCACGTGGGCAGGTGGCTGCAGCTGCTGGGATGTGGGTCCAGGTGTGCAGCCTGCACTACAGTGTGTGTCTGTGGTGCCCTGGAGGGTGGCGGTACCTGTGGGCGGAGAACTGTATGAGGGGATGTACGAGTATCCATGGTGGTGGACTCGGCCTGGGGACCCCTGCTTCTCCGGGGGCACCCGCTCAGCTCTCTGCAGCACTAGGCCAAGTGGTGACAGGCTTCCTCCTCCTACAGACACCTGTGCCTGGCAGGTCTTAGCTACAACCTTTGGGGCCTCCTGGTTTTGCAATCAGGGTTCAAATTGTGAGCCGGGGACAGAAGGGGACAGGGAGGAGGTGCTGGGTGTCAGTGTCCCAGCTCCAGAACACGGCCCCTCTGATGCCCGGTGACAACTAGCCATCCTAAGAAGGCCCCTCCCTGCTCCCCCAAGTCTGCTCCAGGAAAGACCCTCCTCTCTCCTGACCCTGCACCCCCTCTTCCTGCTCCTCCCCATCCTGCGTTGGCCTTCTCACCCTGGCCCTCGGGCAAGGCCAGGGAGGCAAAGGTTTCTGGCCAGCTGCCCGTCTCTGGACTGGTTTCAGGCCTCTCCGGTTGCCCTGCAGGACTTGTTCCCTCCTCGCCCCCTTCCAGGTGGGCCAGGCCTGACCAGCCAGGCAGGGGGCAGTGTAGGGCCCGGCCTTGGGAGCTGCCCTCCCTGCTGCATTCCCAGCCCCACTGGCCGCCTGACCTGGCGTGTTATCAAGTTCGGCATCTCAGTGTTCACTTCCTCATCTAATAAACAGGACTGACCGCATTACCTCCCTCGAAGCCAGTGTGGGGATTCACCGAGACCTTGACCTAGGGCCTGGGCCTGCTCTTTGATGCTTGTTAGTGTTAGCTGTGCTTTCTGTTCTCCGGAGGGAGCCTGCCGCAGCGGGGAGGGGAGGAGAGGGGAGCCTGCAGTAGTGGAGGGAGCACAGCAGCAGCAGCGAGGAGGGGTTAGCAGTTTTTGTTGTTTGTGTTTGTTTTGAACGGAAAGGTGGATGCAGTTATGCAAAGCAGACAGAACTGTGTGTGTGTGTGTGTGCGTGTGTGTGTGTGTGTGTGTGTGTGTGTGTGTGTGTGTTGGCGGCGTTGGCTGTGGCTCTGGCCCACCACCGGTTCTCTGCGTTGCACAAAGGACCAGCTCTTGCTGCCCAGGACCCTCCTGGACCCCTGACTGTCCACTTCTCCCACATCCTGCTGTCACCTCTTCTTGCTGGGTGCGTGAGCTCGCCCATCACTATAGAATAATCTAGTCCTCCACTCCGCAGCCTTTGGTGCCAGCTGCGTGTCGTTGGCTTTCCTGGGGCACCCAGTTTGCCAGGTTCGTCTCAGGGTCTGCTGGCTCCAGCTGGGGGTGGGCAAGGACCTCACCCTCTCTGACCCACTCTCCCCATGGGTGGGGGGGCACGCGGCTGGGAGGGGGCAGTGACACTCCAGGTTGTTGCTTCTCCGCTAAAGTGTCCCAAATCATATGCACCTCCCCACCCAGCGGGAGCCTCCCTCTGAAGACTCACTTCCGGTCTATAGGGGAAAGTTCCAGTCCTAGCCTCCCTCTGACCCTCTCTCCAGCCCACTGACAACCTGCCGGCCCCTCCCTGTCCCGGTGATGTCAGGGGACTGCCGCGAAGGGCCACAGGAAGGTGGGGGAAGGCGGGCGGCACCGGTTAAGTCCTGAAGCTCGGAAGGATTAACTCCTGAAATCAGAGGGACCTTAGACACTCCTCTCCTCCCTCCTAGATGCTCCCCAGAGTGGGAGGGAGCAGGCTGAGCCAGGTGCTAAGCTCCACTGTTTCTCAACTTCCTGGCGGGTGGGCGGGTCACAGCTGCTCCAGAGAGCACAGCCCAGCTCTGCCCCCAGCAGAGTCTCACCCACGGGGAGGCCCCACCTCCACCCAAGGCCTTTGTGGTGGCGGAAACAGAGCCAAGAACCCCAGCCTGGTCATAACTCTCGAATGTTCTCTTCCCACGAGTTCAGTGTGGCCATTATCCTCAGGGCTGACTCTCCGACCTTCTCTCTGCGTTTTTCCACCTGAGCCTCGAGGGGTGGTAGACTGCGTAGGATCAGCTGTGACTTAAACATTTTTTTCTTTTTTACTCCTCACCCGACGATACTTTCCCCATTGATTTCTAGAGAGAGAAAGAGAGAGAGGGAGGAAGGGGGGAGAGAGAAACATTGATGTGAGAGAGACACATGCATTGGTCACCTCCCACAAGCACCCATAACCAGGGCTGGGGAAACCTGTAACCAGGTACATGCCCTTGACCGGGAATTGAACCTGAGACCCTTCAGTCCTTAGCCTTATGCTCCAACCACTGAGCCAAACCGACCAGGGCTATGACTTATCTTTTTTAAAATATATTTTTATTGATTTCATAGAGGAAGGGAGTGGGAGAGAGAGAGAGAAACATCAAAGATGAGAGAGAATCATTGATTGGCTGCCTCCTGCACGCCCCACACTGGGGATGGAGCCTGCAACCCAGGCACGTGCACTGACTGGGTCTTGAACCATGACCTTCTGGTTCATAGGTGGATGCTCAACTACTGAGCCATGCCAGCTGGGCTATGACTATTTTCTTAATTCAAAAAACTAATTTAGAGGGCAAACTCAGATCTGCAGTCCAAAATATACTTTTGTAGAAAAACACAGACGCACAAAAGACCAACCCCAGAGATCCCCACCGCTCTGGGAGAAGCTGGCTGGGATGCCCAGCCCCTGGGAACCAGTGGGAGAAGCTGGAGAGGGATGGGAGCTGGCAGACTCCAGCCCGGAGTCCGTCCTGCCTGAGGGACGTGCGTGTGACGCACAGCCTGCTTCTCATCTTGCCCACGCCTGCTGCCCTCCGCTCCTATGTCCACCTCCAGAGTGGCCCCGCCATGGCCCTGGCCCTGAGCTGGAAACCTGGCCTTGTCCTTGATTCCGCCTCCTCCCCAGCCCTCACCTTTCCCCCAGATCCTGCCGCCCTGTCCGCCCTCACCTTCTCGCATCATCTCCCAGACAAGCAGCCTCTGTCCCGTCACCCTCCTCATCCTGTCCCTCCCCTTCCAGTCTCAGAGCGTGACCTATTTGACACCCAACTTCGGTTGTGTCATAAGTTGATAATGACGGTGTTTAATCCTGCAAAGTCTTGTCTGTTTAAGAAATAAAATAAAAGGAAATATTAGGGGACACATAAGGGATTGAGAGTCTCCCTTACCGCCTTGGGCAGCTCAACCACTGAGCCACACTGGCCGGGCTTTCTTTTTTCTTTTTTTAATTCCCACCCCCTAATCCCTTTCCCTCTGGCAACCATCAATTTATTCTTTGTATTTTTGAGTCTGTTTTGCTCTATTTATTCCTTTTTTTTTTAGACTCCACATATAAATGAAAGCATGCGGTATTTGTCTTGCCCTGACCACCTACTTCATTAGCAAAATGCCCTCTAGGCCGTCCATGTGGTTGCAAAGGGCGAGCTGTCATTCTCTGCTGTGGCCGAGTCATAGTCCATTGTACGTACCACCACTTCTCCTTCACCTGCTCATCTGCGTCCATAGCTTGGCTATTATAAATAACGCTGCAGTGAGCATAGGGGTGCGTATATTTTTTTCAAATTTCTTCGGATAAATACCGAGCAGCCGGACTGCTGGATCGTATGGCAGCTCTATTTTTAATGTTTGGAGGCACCTCCATTCTGCTCTCCACCGTGGCTGCACCGTCTGCATTCCCACCAACCGGGCATTAGGGTTCCATTTCCTCCACGTCCTCAGCAGCACTTGTTATTGATTGATTTATTGGTGATTCAGCTGGCGTTTCTTGATGAGAGAAGCAAGGCAGGAGGACTGACCCTGGGAGCAGAAGGGCATAGAAGGAGCAGTGACAAACAGTTACTTCTTCCACCTGGGACACAACCGTGAGCCTCAAAGCCCCCAGCTGCAGCCCCCTGTGCCCGCCGCCAGACTTCTGCCTCTGGCTCGAACCAACCAAGGGGCCCCAGTGGGTGCGTGCTCTTGAGCAGGCGGGTCCTCGGAGACCAGCAGGCCTGGGAGAGATGTCACTTTAAACCACGATACCCTCCCACCCTCTCGGGTTCTGTCCCCGTGCGAGGTTACAGAAACAGCACATCCCACCCCTGGGGTTACACCGTCTGAGAGCAACGCAGCTGGGCCTGTTTCCATGGGCTCTGCAGCAAGGCCGCCAGGAACGGCATCTACCCCCGTGCCCTCTGCCTTCCGCGGACGATGCCGCAGCGACTTGTCACATCTCCCGCGTCTGTTGTAAAACTGCACTTGTGCCATCATTACCTGTGCTCCTTAGGGTCCTTCATCTCTTATTTATTTTTAAAAAATATATTTTATTTTAAAAATATTGTTTATTGCTTTCAGAGAGGAAGGGAAAGAGAAACATCAATGATGAGAGAGAATCACTGATTGGCTGCTTCCTGCACGCCCCCTGCTGGGGATTGAGCTCACAACACGGAATGAAACCGGGACCTCCTGGTTCGTAGGTGGATGCTCAACCACTGAGCCATGCCGGCCCGGCCTCAGTGCCCTTTAGATGGAGCTTCTGGCTCCCTTTCGGCTCCATTTCGTTCTAAAGGAGGACGTCTCAGCACAGTGTGGGGACAGTGTCCTTCGCTGTCTTTCGTCTTCTCCTGCCTGGGCCCTGCTCTGTGGGTGAGTCGCACGTCTCCGGGGTCGTGTGGCTTATCTTGGATGAAAGCTGGGTTCAGATTCCACCTCTGCTGCCTTACGTAGCGGAGTGAGCTGGCTGGTCAAGTGGCCTCTCCTATCTGTTTCCGCTTCTGTTGACGGTAATCACAGCCCTGACCCTGGGCTTGAAGATTAGCGAGTCACGTAGAGTGCAGAACGCCGCGTGCTCACCGAAGGCCTCCTGCTGCCTGAGGGGCTCGCAGGGATTGGATCCGGGGAACCCTTCACACTCCCCCGCACACAGGCAGGCGGCGTCTTCAATACAGTGAGCAACAGCTTGCGGCCGGATAAGAGGCGGGAGGAGGCTGCCGTCTGCGTGGTCGTCTGCAGGCATCTGCATAAGAAGCACCTGAGCCCCTTTTGCATCCAGAATGGCTGTTCTTGGAGTCAGAGAGCAGCTGCTCAGGACCGGCTTTGGAGAATCCCACAGATGCTATAGAGGAGCCACCCCAGGGAGCAGTTCGCCCCGGCACCCTCACCCCGGGTGCCACCCGCGTGGACAGCTTAGGACATGGCCTCCCTTCACCCCTGACTACTCCCACACCGCCCCCTCCCTGCTGTAGGCTCAGGGAGCAAAGGAGAGCTCTGAAGGTACAGATGTTTCCAAGATAAACGCGCACCAAATGATGGCAGCCTGATGCCGAGAGCGGGCCTTGTCCAGTCCTCTCAGGCTGGCAGGTTGGCTGGATGGTCAGGGGCAGCGTGGCGATCCGGGGGCCGGCCTCGTGCCCCTAACACCAGGTGGACACAGTTACTCTGACTGTTGCCACTCTGTGGTCACAGACACCTGAGAGTTGATGGTCAAGGCTGATTAGCTGGGGCTGTGAGCGAGGCAAGAAGGCCCTGGGGCGGGGGTGGTGTTCTCGAGGCTCCCAAAGGCCCTGCTTTGCTGGGCTGTGCTGACCTGGACCCCGGGGCCCTTCCTGGCTCCCTCCTCTAGGTGTGCACGGCCTTCCCCGCCGAGGACGCCCGGTACGGGCACGTCAAAATGCACCACGGCTACACCAACGTGCTGGGCCTCGGGGACTCAAGCACCTGGAGGCTGCCTTGCCTCAACCGCTACGTCTACATGTTCCTCGCGCCTCTCCTGATCCCCATCATCACGCCCCTGGTGGCGGTCGGTGAGTGTGCCGGGCCTGGGTCCCGCGTGGCCGGCAGAGACCTGGTCTTCCCTTGGCTTCCTCCCCTCCTCGCTCTCGTGGAGGCTGCTGGTGGAGGAGGGGAGGAGCCCTGAGTTAAGACTGGACAGGAACTTTCTGAGGCAGCCAGGCTGGGTGGAAAGAGCTCAGACCCGGGGCCAAGGCTGGCTTAGCCGCGTGCGGGCTGGTGACCTCAGGCAGGTAACTGAACCTCTCTGAGCCTCGGGTCCTTCCGTGCTCATTATTACCTAATGAGGCCGTAGATGCAAACACGAGTTGAAAATGCCTCGCACTGTATTGCCTGTTAGAATTTTTTATTTTTATATTTTTAAAAGAAACTTTTTTTAAAATTTTCATTGATTTCAGAGAAGAAGGGAGGAGATAGAAACATCAATGATGAGAGAGAATCATTGATCAGTTGCCTCCCACACGCCCCAGTGAGCCCGCAACCTGGACATGTGCCCTGACCTCCTGGTTCATAGGTCGATGCTCAGTCACTGAGCCACGCCGGCCGGGCGCATGTTAGACTTTTTAATATCATGGGAGCAAATCCTCTGGTGGAAGGACAGGGGCTGGGGGGCGGCAGACCTGGATTCAAGCCCCAGGCCACCAGTCGCTGTCAGAGTGACCCTGGTCAAGCTGCCTAATGCTCCATTTCCTCATCCGTAACATGGGTGAGTCTACTTTTGGGGCTGAGTGCGGATGACCCAGGTCGCCTCGTTAGCACCACTGGGCCGGCAGGGAGCCAGCTGTGCTGGGAGCTTGCCCACCCGTCACTGTGTTTTTTGCCCCCTGGCAGAGCGGCTGAGGAAGGTGAGGCTCGGGGCAGCTCTGCGGGCGCTGGGCCTGATCTCCCTGGGCCTTTATTCTCACTACTGGCTGCTCCGGCACATGTCTGGCTTCCGGAGCCCCGCCTCGGCCCTGGCCTGCATGCTCTGCACCAGATCCCTGCTGGCCCACCCCTACCTCCACGTTAACGTCTTCCAGGTGAGGCCTCCGCCCTGGGCGCTGGGGACCACGGGGTACCCAGACCACGCCCCTCACAGGACAGATGGGGAGAGAGGCAGAGAGACTGAGCTCGGGGTTCAGCCTCTTCACGCCTCTTCCAGGACCCGCCTGAGTGGGAGTGAGGGGGGCAGAAGGGCCCACTGTTCCCCGCGTGCCCGGCGAGGACACCGGGGCGGGGTGGGGAGGTGCAGGAATGGCTCAGGCCGTGACCCGCGTGTCTGTCACAGCACATCGGGCTGCCCATGTTCTCCCGGGACAAGAAGCCCCGCCGGATTCACATGATGAGCCTGGGGGTGCTTAACCTGCCCCGGCTGCCCGTGCTGGACTGGGCGTTCGGCCACTCCATCATCAGCTGCCACGTGGAGCACCACCTGTTCCCCACGCTCTCCGACAACATGTGCCTAAAGGTAGTGGGGGTGGAGCCGGAGGGCTGGTAACCGGCAGCATTCGCCTGAACCCCGCGTCCCCCAACTGGCCTGGTCCGAGGTCCCCAGTGGGGGTTTCCGGTCAGAGACACGGGGGTTTCTCATTAGCAGTGCGACTCAACAAGTTCATGGGCATCTCTGAGCGTCAGCTTCCTCGTCTGACCTGGGCAGATGAGGCGCACGCAGTGCTTACATGCGCAGGTCTTGAGCATGAAGTGGAGAAATGGATCTGGGATGCTGGGCACGCAGTAGGTGCTGCTAAAAGGAGCCCTGGTTTGCACCCTCTGTGCAAGGAGGACTGTCCTGGGGGGTGCTGCGGGGTGTGGGGGGAGTCCGCCCCCCTTTCCCTTGCCTGCTGGGCGGGGAGAGGCAGGAACTCTGCAAGCCCCCAGCTCCCCCTGAGCCTGTGGAGCTAGGCAGACAGGAGCGGGCGCTGGGAGGAAGGAGGGCCCCGGGAAGGGCCTGCCCGCAGCCCACAGTCCGGCTCATCGCGCCTCCAACCGCCCACCTTCTGGCAGGTGAAGCCCGTGGTGTCCCAGTTCCTGCGGGAGAAGCAGCTGCCTTACAACGAAGACACCTACCTCGCTCGCTTCCGGCTGTTTCTCAGTCACTACGAGGAGCTCCTGGTGCACGCGCCTCCCATCACTGAGCTGGCGGGGCTGCAGTGAGGGCGCTGACACGTCCCCCTGCTCCCCTGCCCCAGCCCATCCCAGACCTGCTTGTCACTCCCCGGCTGGGCTGCTGGTGGCATTGGGAGGGCAGAGAGCCAGGGAGCTGGTGTTTCTCTGGGCTTTGCGGGGTGTATGGAGGAGAGGGGTGTCTGGAGGAGAGGACTAAAGGTGGCTGGGCATTCTGGGGATTCTGGGCAACCTCATCTCAGGACTACACAGCTGGGCTCCTCCCCGGCTTGGCCTGAGCCTTGGTAGGGCTAAGGGAGGGTGACCAGGTGAGGAGGGGCCTGTGCAGGGGGCAGACAAGGAGGGGGCATCGAGAGAGCAGGTCGGCCCTCAACTAGGGTCTCCCTGGCACTGGGAGAGTCATATACGCAGCTGGCCACCGCTTCTTCCTGTGCCCCGGGAGCCTTGGGCCTCTAAGGAGCCCTCTCGCAGGGACCACGGGGAGGTGACTTTGGCAGGATCTTCCCAGCTTCCGGGCCAGAGGAGCCTGTGCAAGACACTGGCTCAGCAGCTCCCAGGAGCCGCAGCCTCAGGGAGAGCAGAGTTTGTGCTTTATAAATAAAGAGGACATTCCCGGTTCAGGAAGTAAGGGGAGCAAGAGTATAAATAGCTTTGAGTGTGATCTTGGCTAGCTCCCGAAGTCTGCCTTGTTCCATGACATTTAGAAGGAGAGGACCTGGAAGAATTATCAGAGAGAGAGAGAGAGAGAGAGAGAGAGAGAGAGAGAGAGAGAGAGAGAGAGAGAGATTACTGGGAAGGTAACAGGTCAGGGGGTGATGGGCACAGGGTCTGGAGGGCAGTGACTTTAGAGAGGAAAGGAAGGAGGAGAAGGAGGTGAGGTGCAGACACAAGTCTAGGGCTGGGCCGGGCAAGCGTCGTCCGCAGCCCGGGAGCCAGCTGCACGGGCAGACTTGAGAGAGGGCCCGAGCTGCCCTGGCTGGGCTGGAAGAGGAGGTGCAGGAAGGGCCCAGCTGGAGGCCGAGGAAGAACAGAGAAGGGGGCCGGAGCGCAGTTTAACCAGCGTTTCCCCTCCGCACTATGACACATTGCCGGGAATGCTCTGTCGATGGGCCTGTCCGGTGCATTGCAGGGTGGTCAGCGGCACCCCTTGCTTCTCCCCGCTACGTGCCCAGAGCCCAAGTGGTGACAATCACACATGTTGGCAGACACTGATGAGAACCACCCCTGGTTGACAGCATAAATCATGATCTGAGGGCAGACCCGCCTTGGTTTGCAGTGAGTTCCTTGGGGCGGGTGAAAGGCACGTGGACCCTGTTGATGGGCTAAGTCAGTGAACGGGATTGGCGGCAGGGTCAGATGGCAGCTGAGAGGCATTCTCTAGGCCTGGTCCTGTCGGAGAACCCACCTCTGGTGTGGCCTGAGGTGGCTCTGCTGGGTGGCTGCCATCCGCCCCTCCCCGTCCTTCCCCCACTCCTCTCCACCCTGCCCCTCACACCCTCTCCTGAAGCTGCAGCTCTCACTGCCTGCCACAGCCCCTGCCTTCGCTCCTTCGGGGCGGGGGTGGGGGGGTGGGGGGGCGGGTAGGGGTGGCTTCCAGCGGTTGGTAGCCAGGGGCGCTTCACTGGTCCCTCAATCCTGCTCACGCCTCTGTACAAAGCTCCTTTAGTGAAACCTCTACTGGTCGGCACTGCCAAGCTGCCATCTGTTTCCTGCCGGGAGGCTGGCGGGCCCAGTGGAGCTTGGGATCCAAGCAGCCCTCTTGGAAGAGGCAGGCTTGGCAGCCTCCCCAGCCCGCTGCGTCGCTACACTCCCCTGCTGCTCTTTTGAAATGCACTAGTAGCTCAGAAATGGCCGTCCGGGCCCAGGGGTGCAACTCATCAAACTGCCAAATGTCCACATGAAAAATGCAGTGTCAGAGAAGGCCCCATTGCCTCGTCCTGGCTAATGATTAAAACCATCCTAATACATCACCAATGACTCAGGGTTATTGATCTGGGCCTGAGTGGGGCCTGGGCAGCAGCTGGAGGCCCTGGAGCAGGCTTGGCTGTACCACAGGCGCCTGGGAACAAGCCACTTGGTCGTTCTGAGGCCTGATTTTGTTACTCAGAGAATGTGGACTGGGGTGCACGGGGCTGTGAGGGGCGGGGAGGCGGCAGGAGGGAATGAAGCCCTTCCTGGGCTCTGCGGTGACCTCAGACCTAATTTACACGGACCCGTCAGAGGTGATAATGTTGATGAGGGTGAGGATAGCTGACATCTATTCAAAACATAAGGCACATTTTTATTTTTATTTTTGGTAAGAGAACATTTATTTATTTGGTAAATCACAGAGGTAGAAAAAGTAATTCCCAGAAGAAAGGGGCTTAGGAAACAAGTTCCAGGGGCAAAGGAAGGGCCCTGGGAGCTTGGGAGTGAGGAGGCTAATGGTGAGGTGCCTGGGGCGGGGCTGGAGGGGGAGGGGGCAGGGGAAAGAAAAAGGCACAGGCTTGCTCCCTGGAGGAAGAGGCACGGGGTCCCCATCCTGAGGGTTTTAAGGGCGGAGGTTTTAGGGGCGGCCCCAGGGGAGGGTCATAATGGAGCATTCAGCAGCTTCCCAGGTGTGTCCTTTCAGGGTTGTGGGCTCCACTGATTGACTGGCGGGCACCAGGGCACAGGGTCGGTACTCAGTGCAGCTGCGCCTGAGGTCAGCCACGGCTGGTTTTGCTGCCTCGATGGGCCTGGAGCTGAACTACAACTGAGGCCTCGATGGTATCTTAAGGCACATTTTTTACCTACTCCATTTAATTTTAATCTTTACAAGCACTTGATTGTATTTTTCCTAACGCGACATGTTGTGAAGATAAGTCTTGGCGGGATTAGATTTCCGAATGTCATATAGCCTGTAAATGGTGGGAGAAGGATTCGAACCCCTGCGTCCAACCCCAGACTCCCTGCTCTTAACTACCAAACACAGTGCCTCTGGGAGGGGAGCCGTGCAGGGCTTTCTGGGATATCTGACCCTGAATCTCCTTCTCTTCCTCCCATGGAAAGAATAATAACCAATTGATGTGTCTCTCTCACATCGATGTTTCTCTCTGTCTCTCCCCTCCCTTCCAGTCTCTCTAAAAATCAGTGGAAAACATCCTCAGGTGAGGATTAATAATAATAACAATAATAATAATAATAAAAAAAGACAAACTCTTTGTGAACATCTTTTATGTGCCAGCCAGGCCCTTTGCGCAGCTCTGGGGATATAAGAGTGAATGAGATTGGGCCCCAACCCCCAGGAGCTTACAGGCTAGAGCGGGAGTTAACAAACTCTTTGGAAAGGACCAGATAGTAAATATTTTGGGCTTTGTGGACCATGTGGTCCCTGTCACATAAACTCAAAATATTTTGTGCCATTAAAGTGTGAAACAGCTATAGACAGACGGAAAGAAATGAGCATGAGTGTATTCTAATAACAACTTTTGAACTTGTGTAAGTTTTACATGTCACAAAATATTACTCTTACCATTAAAAATAACAACACTTAAGAATGTAAAAACCTGCCCTGGCCGGTTTGGATCAGTGGTTAGAGTGTTGCACTTGCACTGAAGGGTCTCGGGTTCAATTCCCGTTCAAGGGCAGGTTCGATCGCTGGGACTTGTGCAGGAGGCAGCCAACTGATGTATTTCTTTCACATCGATGTTTCATTCTCTCCCTCTCATTCTCTTCCCCCCTTCCCTTCCACTCTCTCTAAAAAAATCAATAAGAAGAAAATATCCTTAGGTGAGGATTAAAAAAAAAAAAAAAAGAGTGTAAAAGCCATTAGCTTGTGGATAGTACAAAAACAGGTGTTGGGTAGGGTTTGGCCTGCAAGCCATGGTTTGCCCACTCCTGTCTAGGGGGACAAGCACAAAATGCAACGGCTTATCAGAAATCGGAACATTAGGAGGGAGGGGAAGTGATGAGAAGGGGCACAGGGGCTTTGGGGTGCCCGCCATGTTCTAATTCTTGACCTGGGTCGTGGTTACATGATAACATCTTGTGATAATTCATCAAACAGTACACTTCTGATTTGTACACTTTTTTGTTATACTTCAATTAAAAATAATAAGACAACATAATAGGTAATAATGGGGTCGAGTGTTAGAAGACAAGAAGGGGCCCGACACCAGCTTGGGAGAGGATGGGTCAGGGAAGGCTTCTCCAAGGAAGGGTTTGACAGAGGGCCCTCAGGAGAAAAGGAAGCCGGAGCTGGTGTTAGGCTTGCTGGGTCAGATGGGACCACGGATCCTGTCATTCAAAAATATACTTTGCTCATTGTGGGTGTGTGTTTTGTTTTTTGCATTAATTTTGCTCTTTTAAAATGCTGCATTAAGTGATTATTTATCTTGATCACTGTGGTGTTTGGTACTCTCTTAAGTTTTGCACTGGAGGCCAGTGCCCCCCTCACCGCACACTATTCCAGCCCTTGGACAGGGTCAGGATCTCTGTCCACAGCACCTGGGGCAAATCGCTCCTTCCACTTCCTCACCTACGGAAAGGGAAGGGACCAGACAGGACAAGGTCTCTGTGGACGAAAAAGGGGTTCTACAGAAGGTAACCTCACAGGGTGATTCGATCATAGATTCCTAAATGGGCAGGTCTTGGTGGGTTGTCATGCCCCAGGCCTACAACTTCTTCAGCAAAAGGCTTTTAAGCCAGCCCTGTCCATTGCTTTTGTGCATATAGGTTAACACATTTTTGAAATACCACAAGTAATACCTCTCGGAGCGGTAAGCGCCCTCAAGACAGCACACAACCTAGTTAACCATCCTGTAGTCCAAACCCTACCTTGCTTTCTCCCACCTTCATATAATCTCCCTTATTAATTTCAAATGCATAAAAGAAACTGCAGCCGTAACCGGTTTGGCTCAGTGGATAGAGCGTCGGCCTGCGAACTGAAGGGTTCTGGGTTCGGTTCCGGGTTCGATTCTGGTCAAGGGCATGTACCTTGGTTGCAGGCACATCCCCAGTGGGGGGTGTGCAGGAGGCAGCTGGTCGATGTTTCTCTCTCATCGATGTTTCTGACTCTCTGTCTCTCTCCCTTCCTCTCTGTAAAAAATCAATAAAACATATTTTTTTAAAAAAAGAAACAGCAAAACTTACTCTCGGGAGCATCTGAGATCTTGCTTCCTGGCAAATTGTCATCAGTTTTGGCTCAAACACATTTTTATAAAAATTCTCTACACGTTTAGACATTTCTTATGTGGGCATCTTGGCGGGGTCACACCTGTATAGCACCCTGATAAGTGAAAAGGGCCGCCGAGTTCCAGGAGGAGTCCCTTTTTAAGGGACTTCCGGGTTTGCTTGAACTCACTGGTGATTGGCTAGCAGGAAACCAGCCAGGCAGGAACTACCTATCAAAAGGGAAAGGCGCTTGCGTCATCAGCCAGCGACGAGAGGCTAAATAAACTCTTCTCTAATTGGCTCCCTTCTTCAAGAGGGGTTGAAACAGCGATGGGGATTTGCTCTTTTTAACTCCGGACTTCAGATAACGGGAGAGAGGGTGAAGATTGGGGAGCAGTTTATTAAGTCAGGCAGGGACCGGAAGTCTTGGGGGCGGGCCTTCAGCAGAAGGGGGTGGATCCAAGGCCGGGCTTCTCCTCTGGGGGCGGGATTCTTTCCGGCTTGGGGTGGAGCAGCAGCGCTGTGCTTCCCCAGCGCGTGGGAGGCGGGGTTTGGGGCGGGGCGGCACCTGTAGGCGGGGTCCGGGAGGGGCCAGGTCGAAGCCCGCGCCCGGCGCGGAGCGGGGCGGTCATCAGCTCCAGTTCCGCAGGCTGAGTGCAAGTCCCAGCCATGGCTCCCCGCTGCTGGCGCTGGTGGCCCTGGTCGGCATGGCCTCGGACCCGGCCGCCTCCCGCCGGGAGCACCCCGAGTAGGAGCTGGGCACCCCTAGGACTGGATGGGAACGCGGGGAGGAAGGCCTGCGAGCGCCGAATGGAGGGGTTGGAGCCCGACGCGGGCAGAGCTGGAGGGGGTCGAGAGAGGAGACGGGGGCCAGACTGGAGGCGTCCACTCACAGGGACAAGATGGGGTGGTGTACGGGGGCGGACGGGAGGCTGGGGGGTGAGGTGCCTAGGGTGAGATGAGGATCAACAAAGGTGAAAGGGGGAGACCATGATTCCACAGGTGGGAGAAGGGGTGAATGAGGGTGTATGGAGGTCTGAGGGCAAGAGAGAAGTCAGGGGAACCAGCGGTCGATAGGAATGAGGCGGGTCTATTGGGGAATGTAGGTTCCATGGAGGGAAGGGTTGGACGTAATTGGAGCACCGTGGGAAGGTCCGCGGGGAGAGATTGGGGTGATGCGGGGTCCGCTGGATGTGCTATTCTAGCTGGGCGGGCAGGAAACACTGTAAGAAAAAGAGTGGGTGGGTGGGGGCTTGTTGAGTAGGCCATCTCCTGCGACATGGTAAGCTCATGCGTGAGCTGTGGGGTTCTGAGTGAAGACACGGCCTTTGGGTTCAGATGAAATAAGGAACCCTGCAAACAGCAAAGCTTGGACAGAAAGGAGGGGAGCCCCACCTCGTGTTTAACACTGAGGTTGGTTTGGGAGT